CTTAATTATTAATTATTATTAGTTAGTTAGTAGTTAGTACGTACGTAGTAGTAGTAGTAACGAACTAACTAACTACTACTACTATATACTATTATTATTAGTAGTAGTAGTACGTACGTCTCTCTCTCTCTCTCTCTCTCTCTCTCTCTCTCTCTCTCTCTCTCTCTCTCTCATTCAACAAGGGATGCCTTCAAAATAGTGGCCTGCTGCATTAGGTTTTAAGCCCTTTGTAAATTCAACAAGGGATGCCTCCAAAACAGTGGCCTGTTGCATTAGGTTTTAAGCCCTTTGTAAACGAGAAGGTGAGCTTGCTCCATGTACTGGCTCTACAAAACTTATATGGAGTGTGTTCACATATTTCTTCCTGGCAAGATTCAGAGAGCAATTGCCTCGTACATTCTTCTTCTTTAGTGCTTTCTTCTTCCTTGGCTTCAAGGACTGAATTGCAGAGGAGCAATGCAATGAAGAGAATACAAGTAACGTCGGTGATTATGGAAAATCCTGGAAACTTTGGGCTTCTTCTTGATGTACACAGTAAGGCGAGGGACAATGGAAATGCCTGGAACTATGTCTTCTTATTTTCTATAGCGTTTGGCGCTAGGGTTTTTTTTGGCTCAATTTTTTGTTTTTTTTGACGTTTAACCCATATTCTAAGAGAAAAATAGGATTTGTATGGAAAAAAAAAAAAAAAGCAGGATCTTCAAGAGAATCCATGATTTCTCTTTTTTTAAAGAGAAAGAGGAAAGAGCATTTAGTGGGAGAGAGAAATACTTCATATGTAACAAAATTACAGTCAAACATGCAAAAACAAAATACATATCAGGGTAATATATAATGTAGATATATGAAAAGGTAGGCAATGCCTTTATTCAAATTTTCTAAAATTTAAATATTCAAATTTAGTTTTGTCTAACAGAGCCTAAAATATGTGAAAAACTTTATTAGACTCATTCATTTGTTATAGAAAGGATAACCAAGAACACGTTTTATTTCCTTCTTTAGAGGGCCGCCTTTTCACCCTTCGCTCCAAGGTAGTCTTTTTATTTTTTTTATTTTTATTCATTAGGCGACACATAAAAATAGAATAGCCAGCATTACTTCATTGACCACCAAGACAATATCTCCTAATAAAAAAAAAAAGAGATTCACGTATGGACACCTAAACAAAGGAAAAATACAAAAAAGTTTATTTTTTTCACAAATATTATGCGGAAGGTTAGTCAACTTATGTCTTTCTTATATTTCTCAGATTGCCTCTCGCTTCCATGTTATCGACATCAAACCAAATTAATTAACTTTTTTTTTTTTTTGTGAAGTCATGGCCGGTCCGATGTCCCAAATATCGAACTAGTGACTTGTCTTTTTTCTATTTCTTAAATTGCTCCTCACTTCAATGTTACCAACATCTATCTAATTTAAATTTCTTTTAAAGAAAAAAATAATCATGAGGTTATGGCCAGTCGAATGTCTCAAATATCAAACAGACAATGTTTAAGCAGTCTGAGGTTCAGTACTTTGAACCGGTAGTTCTGTGCCCTATTGCCATAATATAGAGGTCTGAGGTCTTGGTCCCAGACTACTTATTGGACCAAGCGATTCGAAGTTCCAAGACATCGGACTGGTCACAAAGCAAGAAAAAAAAAAATTTATAACCAGTCCGATGTTGGTAAAATCAGACGGACGGTCAAACTAAGAAAAATAAAAAAAGACACGAGTCAACCAACCTTAAGCGTAATATTTGTAAAAAAAATGGAACTTTTTGCACCTTTCCTTTTGTTTTTCACCTCCATAAGTAAATAATTCCAAGAAAAAAAAGGTAATCTAATAAGAACTAGATGTTTATATGATAGACTGGTGAAGTTGTGGTGGGTAGGATGTTTTGATGGGGTCTGACTCTATGAGTAATTGTAGGGAGAAGATATATGATGATTTATGGTCTGATCGAGGACATGGTCTTTGATAGAGCGAAGTGGTAGAACAAAAAATCGGTGTCATTGACCCAAAATAATCAAAATAAGCCGTAGATAATGATGATGATGACGTATGATAGGCGTAGATAATGATGATGATGATGTATGATAGGCGAGAAGATCGGGGGAATGAAAGGATAGGAAGGTGGGGATATGGCTTTTTGTGTTGATTGTAAATTGGCATACTTTTTGTACTAGAGAAGGATGTGTGGGTATTCTAGTTATTGGCCTTCTAAAGTCCTAAGTTGTACTCTTTCTTTTCTCCAATCAATAAAGTGAATTTTCTGTCAAAAAAAGAGTAAATAACAAAACTCCCGAAACACAACCTTAAGGAGGAATTCACAGGTGAGTGACGAGTTATGCGTAGGGGTGGCCACGGGTCCTGTCCGGATTCGGACTCGAATAGTATTGGGTCCAAAATTAAAATCCAAACCCGGACCCATTAGATCTCGGGTCTCGTTGGATCTATTGCCACCCTATGATTATGAGTTTATTATTATTATTTACGTTTTTTTTACCATCATATACTACTTCTTCTTTTTTCCAATAATACAGTAAATGTTGCCAATATTGTGATAATACGAATGCTTAGTACGAGCCTAAAGACAAATGATTATCAATATATACCCTATAACTATGGGTACAGATCGGGTCCGGCTAGTCCTAGATCCGGACACGGACCCGAATAGTATTCGGGTCCAACATTTGAACCTATACCTAAACCTGAGGTCGGGTGTACTTGTCGGGTCAGGTCCATTCCCTTGGCCTGCGGAACCTGAAATCCAGGGACAATTTCGTATTTTCTTTTTTGCCAACTTCTAAATTGAACAAAAAAGATATCGGATGTGTTAAAATTAGATAATTCCATGAATATGCATGTGAGTCATTAAAGTTAAAATAAGTTGCGTAATCATTTGGAGCTTGTTGACTTTTAAGGGATTATGCTGACTCAATGCAAAGAATTTAAATGAGTTATTAATGTAAGTTCACACAATCATTCGAAAGGGCAACATACCTCGGAGAGGAGATATTGGTATTTTTTAGTAGTATTAAACAATAGAAAATCATTAAACACTAGAAAACCATCAAATATGTCGCCTTGTGAATATTTTCTGTTTTTCAACACCAATATATTACTGAGGATCAGTTTGGATGTACTTAAAATTGTAATTTTTTTTTGGAGTATAACTCAAAAATTTTGTGAAATTGATTTGAGTTGTTTGGACAACCACAAGATTGTAATAAATTTTTAGATTGAAATAAAAAATTCTACAATATTAAAATAAAAAAATATTCAAAGTAAACCTTGAATTTTTTAGGATGAAAGGGCGGCTTGTGCATGAAAAATCTCCTCTGCCCACCTTTTCTCTCTCCTCCCCTCCCTGCAACCCTAATCTCTCTAGATCGGAACCAGAGGCCACCCTGTCTCTCCCTGTAACCAGAGACCACCCTGTGTCTCCCTGTAACCCTAAACTCTCTAGATGGGAACCAGAGACCCCTGGTTCTGATTGCCCACCTCCATTGAACCTCTAAACCTTAGATTTACAGGCTATTGCCCAAAAGAGAAGAGAACCCTAAAGCTAACCAGTATTATAGAGCCTCTGAGTTTGTTATGGGGAAAGAGAAGATGCCCGCTCAAGAGAATAAGAATGTTTATGATGGATCCAAGAGGCGAAATCCAGTAACAAAGGTTCCTGAATCTGGCAAAAGAATGGCAATTTCTTTTGATCTCAGATTTCATGAAGAGGTGCGGCCAAATCTTGACCACGCCCATGAAGCATAAGGATGGATGGGTCTTCAATGTTCATGTTGATGTAGTGGGCATGGGGTTACATGATTACTATACCCTAGTCAAGAACCCCATAGATCTTGGCATGTGAAAACTAGGTTAAACCACAGGTTTTATTCAACCCCACTTGAATTTGCAGCTGACGTGAGGCTTACCTTCCACAATGCCTAACATATAACCCCAAGGGCCATGATGTGAACATAACGGTCGAATAGATGTGGAACCCTGCTTTTAATAAGTATGAGGAGGAGAGTCGAAGGGCCGTTAAAGAGGCTCACCGGAATTCCTTTTCTGGTGAGTTTCCATTACAAAAGCCAGCAACTTTGCCAGAAATTGAAATGACAGTGCAGAAGAGGCAAACCCCAAAGCTCAAAGAAGCCGGATCCATGGATGCTACCCACTATGTGAAGACCAATGGAGGGGGAAACCTAGTTGGGATAAGACCCGTTCAGCTTAGAAAGCAGCCCAAGCCGAAAGCAAGAAACCCAAATAAAAGAGAGATGAGTTTTGAGGAGAATTTGCAGATTTGCCTCAAGAGAAGATGGACCAGGTTGTTGCAAGGTTTCTCTCTCATGATCGCTGAATTCCAGCGACTTTTGGCCTGAAAATGGTGAGATTTGGCCGGAAGTTATGATAATGGAATTGTGTCCGGCAAAGCAGCGAAGATGGGCATGGTTGACAAAAATTTTAGGGAACCAAGAATGGGAAGAGGTTTTTTTTTTTTTTTTCGACAAATCAATTAAATTAGACATTCAATCAGTTTACCAACGTAATAAAATAAAATGAGAATGTTTTCCCATTGAGGTAGAAAAACTTCCAGTTTTTTTGCCGTGAATATTTTTTATTTGACATCCAAACTGGCCCTAAGTCACATGTCAAATGTCAATATCTGAAAATAACAATATGGTATTTGGGGTGAGCTACGGAGCTATTTACATTGAGAATGATCAATATCTTACACAGGTGGTGGTTGTTCTAACAAATACTTTTATTGTGATAAAAGGGAAAAACTAAAAATTGTCACTCCAACTATTTCTAACCCACTATGGCATATCCATTGAGTGTTTTATGAATGGGAAAAGTTTATATAAGGTGAGGCCCTAAACAATGCACACCTCAAAAATTCCCTAAAAGAAGTTGTTTCGGTGCACAAACATCCTCAAATTAGTCATCTCGACCTCAAGATGTATAGACATGAGAAAAAATAGATTTTACATCTTAGAAATAATGCTTCTTGTAATACATTATCAGGTCATCAATTTTTAAGTTTTTCAAGAGTTCATAGATCTGCTCGATCTACATTATTTTTCAAGCCTTAAATGTTATAATTATAGATGAAAATTAATTTTCAATTCGTCACAAATGTATTGAAACATCTTTTAATACTATTTGAAGGTACACCTTACTTTGATTGTTTAGGCCCGCGACGTTGTACAAACCACACCTTTTATGAATTTAGGAAAAGTATTTGGATAAGGTCTTAATTAATGCATCTATTGAGGGTGGTTCAATAAATTTAGGTTAATAGAAAGCTAGAAATAATAGATAACTAGACATACTACAAAAAATGATTAATATTTGGACTTTACTTATAAAAGGAAATACATTGTGTTATAATAATAGACATCCTTGTTCATGAACATTACCCTCTTTTCTTTTCTTTTTCTTTTTTTTTTCCCTTTTTTTTTCTTTTTTTTTATTTTTTTTATTTTTATTTTTATTTTTTTTTGGTTGGTTGGGCGGGGGTGTTAGTTCAACAAAGAATTGAACTAAGGATGCAGCATTGTCTAAGGTTGATAGAAACCAATCAAGCCCAAGCCGAATTCCTAAACATTTTTGAAAAGCAGTTCAGATGAGATTTGAACTTAAATAATACTAGAAGTCATGCATTCAACAACTAAAAACCTAACATACTAATTCACTTTTTAAAGTTATCCTGTATTTGGCGAAATTAATTTTCGCCAATAATGTCGTAGCTTCAAAAACCATGGTTAAGTTTACGAAAATTCATTAATAACGGTAGTAAGCCATGGTTGGAGCAAGAGAATTACCGTAATGCCTTGGAGAGGATATGAATTGTTGCACCATATTGAAGGCATCTCCAAACACTCCCACTGCACCAGGCAGTTTCTTAGGGATCTCCATTACTTTGTGCTCCAAACCTTGATTGAAGGCAGTGACCACATCGTTCATCTCCTTATAACATTTATCAACAGGTGCATCTGGCAAGAGTGATCGTGCCGGGATGCACCCCACCGGACCCAATCCAAGGGCCACGATGCGTCGTGCGCCAAGTGCATACACCCCATTGATCACTGTCAGTATCTCTTTCAACATACGTGCAACGAAGGACTGTGGGGGCTCTCTTTCATCTGCGGCTGGTATGAAGTATTGGAATACATCATTCGAACCGGACTCAAAAAGGAAGAATGCATTTTTGATGATCGACTGGTCCAGCTTCTTTTGTTTCACAAGGTTCTCCAACTGTTTGAACTGGGTTTGGATGGGTGTAACGCCCTGTGACAGTGTGCAGATACTATGGTCATCTACAAAATATAGACAAGTGATGATTTGCACGACAGGCTAATTAGTTGGAAAAAGGCTTTGACGACGATGATGATGATTTGCACAACAGCTCAAATGCGATGACATTTGAAATTTTGAATACAAGAGCTAAATGAGGCTAAGGGCATCTTGATCTTGACTTGTAATGCCTTTTAAAGATTTTGAATTATAAATACCAATGTTCAAGAACTCGGATGGGGAGCTGGACTGGGTCTGGATCGAGCTAACTAAGGTGGACTTGCCCGAGTAGCATAGGGACAAAAAGCTCTTCCAAAATAAGAAAATAAAAATTGTTAAAAATAACATAAAATAGGGGGGGAAATAAACTGCAAAAAAAAATTGAAAAAATAATTGATAACACGGATTTAGAGAAAATTGATTTATGTTTAAGACATTTCTGAAAAATTAAAGGAAAAAAAATATATATAATAGAGTATATGACAAATAACACTCACAAATCATCATCAAAAACATTAAAATTACATTTAAAAAATTTATATATTGATTTTACAATTTAACATTATTTTTATGAATTTATGTTAGCTTCTTTCCTAAGTTTTATCTGAGTACTCAGTTCGGAAAAGACCTAATTGTATAACTTAGTCAAGTCCACTTTGACTCGGTCGAGTCCCTGAATATAAATGGTAGAACATGGCTAAGACCTAAGGGTTGGATGCCCTTTTAAGTGAAGTAGTAATAGTACTATACTTTTAAATTGGAAATAAAGCTTCAAAGTAACGGTGTAAGCATTTCGAGCGGCCGACGCCTACACAAAACAACTGCCAATATTGGTTCAAAAGGAAAAAAAATAATCAAATATAAGGGACAATACAATGGATATAACAGCATTTTACTTATTAATATATGGAAAAAATAATGAGTTTGTTAGGATTTAAGAGCCTCTTATATGCGGAAACAGGAATCCCATCAAGATCATGTAATTACCCAGCTTGAAATAAAATAGGAGAGAGCACAAGCCATAATACGAGAAATAAAGCATGAAACACATACAACAAGACGGGTACGGCAAACTCAAATCCACCATACCAATTAAAGTTTCATCATAGATTTTGGGACAAAGAGTTATCTATCTAACCCTCGACAAAACCCAATCAGGCAAACCTTTCTAGACCCGCTCTTTTGACCAACACGACCTGCTAATCTCTCATCTCTATTCCACAGCAAAATAATTGTCTAGGAAGAGATCATCTCTATTCCACAACTAAACCACTGTCCACGAAGAGATCCATCTCTATTCTACAGCTAAACCGCTATCAAAGAAGAGACCATTGAGAGCAACCAAAACTTTCTCTCACTAAAAAGGGGAAACCACCCAAAAGCTCCATGAGAACTGTTTCTCGACAAAAAACCAATCTCTCAATCTATAGGAGATGCATCTGTAGTGTTTATCTCTATAGGAAACTCTCTTCTCTGCAAAGAATAGGAAACACATATGTAGTGTTTATCTCCAGAAGAAAACATCT